GGAAACGTGCGTTCGAGTTTCATGGAAGACACACATTTTCCTTCTTCGCTTCACTTCGTTTTTAATTTTTAAGGACAATTGCATAGTGAATATTCGAAAAGATGTGAACTCGCTAGCATGGTACAGTGAATTCCGTACAGTTAGTCGCTGGATGAAGTGAATTTTTGTGTCGGTGTCGTTGCAACGAATTAACGAACACAATGGCGGGCACCGGTGTGAGTGTAGGTGGCGCTGGGATGCTGAGAACTAGACGCAGAGACGTAAGCGTGAAACCAAACAGGAAACTCGACCGGAAGTCCTCGAGGGGGATGATATATGAGAACGAGGAACTGAGATTGAGAACTATTCACATCAACGCCGAAGTGGAACAAGGTAAAGCAGAGAGTTTTCAGGCACTGAGCACGCTTTGCAAGATCATTTTTGCATGAACGCGAACGTCTGTATGTTTTTGCAATTGTAGGAGATACGATGAGATTTTTGAATTGTTGAAGGCGTTATAGATTGTGTCAAATATTTATAATTTATACAGAGCTCGTATTGATTCACAGTAATCCTCGCTTTCAAGTAACAGAATCATTTTGTCTATTGTTTATATTTTATTTATAAAGAAACACTATTTGATAGTAGAAAAAATATAGGTTATTTCAATGGTGAAAAATCTGGAGATTAATGGCGATGATAAGCCGCTAGGAAATTTAACGCGGAAAGCGTGGCAGGCCTGGCTCCCCAGTTGTTCCCGCCACAAATAGCCACCATCGTACACTAGATCCGCGCGTCGAATACGCAGCGAACTATTTTCGAAACTTGGCCAAACGCGCCAAGTTTGTCCTGCCGGCTAGGCCAGTAGTTCCAGCCAGTCGTCTTGTTGCACGCGAATTTTGCAACATCATTCTTCAAAAGTTTTACGGTAAACTTCCACTCCGGACCGCCTTTAATCTCAAAAACACAGTCTACCACAAGTTTCGTGCAAATAAACCCGAAGATAGAGCATTTTAAATTCCAACTAGGGCAAACATTCGATCGTGGTTTTCACAGAATTTGTTTCGTAAAATTTTCGAAAAGTCGATTATTGTGGAAGGGGGGAAAGTGTGCACAGTATTTTGATGGATTTGGTGACTTTTCTTGGTGGACTTTGGAGCTTACAACGATGGTAAGTTTTTAGAAGAGATCCAAAAAAAAAAATTTAATTTATTAAATTATTAAGAACTTTTTAATGAATTATTCGAACGAAAAAATCTATATGCTGAGGTATAGAGTACGATAATAATAATAGCAGTATATCTTTATTGCATCAGCCTTGTGTAAAGTATGAAACGAAAGATCGAGTGAAGCATAATGCATAAAAGTGAAGATAAATATACATTCGCGGTGCAAAGGCACATTTACATGCCGTTAATAACCTAACCTCAATGATAAAAGTCTTCAATATGGGAAACTTGATCGGTCGTTCAGTTTCAAAATTGAAGAATCAATTTCTATTGGAAAATGGAGCTCCGAATGGAAGAAAGAAAGGTCAAAAGTCACGAAAATAACGAAGAAACAGGTGACGACAGTGGAAGCATTTGGAACGCGTTGAATATTATTCGAGAGGCGAAGAAACTCGAAAAGCCGGCGATTTTCTCGAAATTTGTTTACCCCCGAAGCCAAGAAAAGCTTTGTTATGTTAGTCATCCCCTCCCCCCTGCCCCTCTGCATATCGCGTGCTCCCTCGAAGCTCTAGAAACCCAGATGTCGTCTCTATACGGATTCTTAGAGAGCGTTCCTCCGCGAAGCACGCGGAAATGTGTTTCGAAACTCAAAACAGTTTCGACGTAGGGATGAAATGTTGACGTAGCGCATGATCTATTAAAGCTTCCCAAAGCTCGATGTGTTTCGACAGAAAATTGAATCCACACCGAGCTCTCTAACTTTCGTCGTAATTCCCCTCGTTTGATAAATAGACGCGGCAATCAAACGAAAGGATTACTCGGCTAGGATTAAAATTATTTGGAAATTTTTGTTCCATGCTTTTTTTTACGCAGAACTGTGAAACGGAGTTTCAGACGTGACGTGAAGTTCAAAATTCCGTTTTAGTAATAAATAAAAACACAATTTGGGAGTACTGTTCGTTCCTGCTAATTAAATTACTGGATTCCGTCAAGGATCGTCAAGATAAATTTTTCTATGTTCTAATGACCGCTAGGATCGAGCCACAATTTCCCCCCGCGTCCATTTTTCAACTCAAACGCTGAAATACCGAGATAATTAAATCAGCTCGCCCGGAAAAAAGCAGGAAAAACAAAAACATTTCGTTAGCCACGAGGCCGGAACTTTTTCCCCTGAGCTTTTGACAGACGCGGCTAGGGAACAGTGACGCATTAAAGGACCATCTGAAGGGAAAATGTGTGTCTGGCTCTGGCAACGAAACGCGGATTTTTGTATCTATGCAACTGGACAATCACTTTGCTACAAATCTTCAAACAATCTCGTTGTTGGTACATCGTTCTCCGTTTTAATTATTTACTTCATTCACACAGATATAGCACAGTTTATAGCGTCTGCTATAAATCGATTTGCCAACTGAATCATATTTTGAATACTTTTTTTGTCGATCGCGTTCCAGGTTGCTGAATCGTCTTAAATTAAATGTCACGTTTCTCTAACGCTCTGCTCTACTGTGCGTCGCGTCCAAAGTGTCACTCACTCGTGAGAGCCAATCACGGTCGATCCAACGGTCAGCTGACCGCTCAAGGCCACTCGAGCGTCACCGCCCAATCGCGTCGGTCCGTTCACCCCGCCCCTGCCGCGTTTGATCTTTTCGCGGAAACCCGCAGCCCACCGGAATTATTTCGAGCCGTTCGTACGATCGAACCCCTCAAATTTTTTCGAACTACTTGAAATACTCGAGCACAACCTGCTCTCTTCCACGCGTTGTATCGACTCTAGTCGCCGGGCTATCTGCACCTGCATCGGTCAAGCAATTTCAACGAGGGGGGGCCTGTTTTCTGGTCGTCGCGTAAAAGCCAGACGCCGCGCACGTCACGTCCGATTATTTTCAGGCGTTTTTAAATGGCTCGACAGATTACACGCCAGAGACACGACGAAAACAAGTTGTGTCTCGATAGCAAAAAAAAGAAATCATCGGAGAATGCCTTCGAGGCCAATCCTTTCCCACGAGCGATGATTTCCAAACGTGTCCTGTACTAAATGATTCTTTACTTGCTGAAATATTTCGAAATTATTTTTATATCATTATAAAACTGTTGTTGTATAAAGATAAACCACAATTGTGATGGTCTCGCTATATAAAAATATAGATGCTCTAGAAACAAGACATACATAAATCTATTATAGATTGCCAATAAAAGCAATTGTGGTGAGTTTAGCATATAGCTTGTTTAGAGTTCACCACAATTTTAATATAGCAGAACTATCATAGCATTGTGATGATCTCGATAGCAGATTACAGTTCTATTCTCCAAAAAGTACCACCACCCCCAATGAATCAAAGTCGACGAAAAATAGTCGAATGATGCAAACAGGACTAAGAGCACCCTAAAACTTCCGTCTCCGAGCAATGACCACGTCTGAGAAGCTTTTTGCTGATCGAACCACCAAGGAAAACCACCCTAACTGTTTAGCTGCGAGACCGCCGTGGCGGCCCGCGCCAGGAATCCCCAGGAACCTTCAACATTTCCGTCCACACGTGACGAAAGAATCTTCCTCGAAGCGGGCCCGGCACACCACCAGCCACTACAAAAGATTTAAATAGTCGCGCGCGCGGGCGAGAAAGAAGGCGGCGGTTCGAAAGGAGAGGGCTGCCAGGCATCGGCGAAGTTGTAGCCTTCGGCGAACTAGTTTTGTCCGACGACTCAAAACGACCAGCATGCTATGCTCTTTTACCGAGAATCTTCGTTTTTTTCGAACGGACGACCCACCGCGACACCGGAAGACTTCTTCTGAGAAAACGCGATCTCGCGGAATCTTGTTCCTTGCTGTTCCGCCGATGACAATTTCAACATTTCGAGCGAATTTCACGCACTTTCGTGCCCGCGAAGGACTTCTGTGACAATTGTGATGTCAGTGAGAGGCATTTGTGAACTTGAACGAGGATTGTGGCAACCACAAATTGTTTTTGTGACGTATTGTGGCGTTTTTTTATGATTATAGTCACTATAGAGGACATTTGTGACGATTATAGCACTGTTGAATCCCTTTGTGACAACTGCATCCGACGCTAAATGGACCCTGTGATGATTATACTGTGGTTGAAGCACTTTCGTGACAATTCTACTGTCTGTGAAGGATCATTATGACGATTGTACTACCGATGGGGGACTTTGTGACTATTGCACTCTCTCTCAATCGCTTTTGAGACGATTATACTGTCAATGAAGGACTCTTGTGATTGTAGAATTGCAGAAAATGTTGTGATGCCAATAACTTGGGTTGTGGACTTTTGTGATAGTCATAGTATCAATAAAAGACGACTGTGAAGATTAAAAAATTGTCAATGTGGTATATTGGGTTGACCCATGGTGATCTATGTGATCTTGTTCCTCTATGAAAGCTTTCCGTGTTTTGTTTACGTCTGACACTTTGCCATTTCCATTGCTAGAAGCTCCGAGGACTTAGCGAACAGTTTTATGAGATTCCAGATTTATGGTAGACAAAACAAACGTTTTAACGATGGTCGCTAGCTTGGATCCTTTGATATTGAAGATTCATGTGATCTTTTTCTCTGAGAGATACCCACGTGGCTTTAATTTAATTGCGAGAGATGTATAAATAGAGTCTTTTGGGAGTTTACAAATTTATGAACTTTGTAGACGATTTATTAATTCGTAGTTGGAATTTGAATGTTGGTAGATAACTCAAGGTAGAACTCGAAGATTTATTCTGGGAAAGCTTGGCAGAATAATTTTATGCAATTAATTCCTCGTATCAAAGTAGTCGACTGTTCTCAGAAAAGTTGCAGCATAAATAATTATGCCGTCCAATTCTGGGTACAGTTGAAATTCTGAGAGATCAAAATTGATGCACTCTTTCTCGAGATCAGAGGAATTAATAATTCTCCGATTGAAATACAAGGAATTATGATGTCATAATCGAAAGTTGAAATACTGAGAGGGCATAGAGCTTCCATATTCAAGTCTCAACATCAGAGGAGTTGAAATTCTGAGAACTGTGTCGTCAGACTCTAACAAAAGTTGAATTCCTAAAAGGATAAAGCTTCTATCCTCAATTCTCAACATCTCAGATAAGTTGACATTCTGAGAAGCCTCTTCTGCTCTAGTTTCACAAGCTGAATTTCGAAAATGTTGAAACTCTGATATCACAGATTCAGAAATCTTCAACAAAATTTGAAACTCGAACAGAGTCAACAAACTCTACGAAAAGTTGAAATTCTGATAGTTGAGAGCTCGTGTACTCAACTCTGAAGATCAGAGAGTTCAGAAAAGTTGAAATTCCTCAATCAACGACGCGAGAAGCTATCGATTTCGGTGAACCCAAGTGAGAACCCGGTGTCAGATCACCCAAGTTATCAACTCCTGTCAGAGATTAGAGCCTCGAATGGCTCCCGGCGCCTTGGAGCTAAGACGCGCTAATAGTGCAACATTCGCCAAACGCAGTGCGCTTCGATCCGGAGATTTAGAGCAAGGACGCAGCGTCACTAAGTAACTTTGTTTCGACGTCGGGCGAAATGAATGGGTTGCACGTTGCCGTGAGATCGACGATCCATCAGACGAAACTGCATATTCCTCGGTCGTTCGTGCGAGAGGATATCGCGTGCACCGTTCACGGAATCCGCAACGCGATGACGTTCAGGTGCGCCGTTAGGCGTGCCTTATTCGTTGACGATGCGCTCGCTGGGATTATTTAACGACTTTTACCGCGGTATGACTTCGTCCCGTATCCTACGGATGTAAATCAAGTGTTCGTCAGCTCGTTGTCGGGGCTGCGCGAGGCGTTTTGGAACGGAGAGATGGACAGACAGAGGCAACCACCATGCAGAGAAGAGAACGGGGAAGAAGCAGGCAGGATGAAAAAGGGAGTACGTTCGAAACACTTACCTCTATGGTTCGAGAGTATTCGGTATTTCTTTCGTACGAAAACATTAAAAATTGTACGAGTTGCAATGAATCCAATGAAGGATCTTTCTGAGAGTATTATCAACGAATTGGTGAGCTTCTCCCGATGAAAATGAGCCCAAACACCACCCTCTTTTGACCACTTGTAACTACACGTTCTGCCAATCGATTCTGAGAATGTATAGTAGGAAGAAAGAGAAAGTAGTCCTGAGAGAAAATACGATTTCTATTAAATTAGACGTTTTAATAGACTTTATGAGCAAAAATTATTCTACAATGTCCACATACTACTTACCCGGTCCTGTTAACCCGAGTCTATTTTTCCCTGCTTCGTACTATACATGTAATCAAAAATAGTCCGAATGTGGTCGTGTTTGGACTCATTCTCATCGCGAAAATGTCACCGATCCGCTGACAATATTCGCACGAGGGTGCAACGATAAATATAAAATATTTATATTTAATATTCTACTTCTATATTCCAGTTAAACAATTGGAAAACTGTTTCAATATTTTCTCAAAAGGCCTAACGTTTCTTTTCTTCTCCGCGAATCGTACACCTGCCGCGTTTGTTCTTCAAAAGACCTCCTGTTCGCTCGTTTCTCTCTCGGGAGAAGAAACAGGCCGCAACGCGGAAAACCGTACGAACTAATTCGGAAAAACTGCAGGATACGCTTGAAAGTGCAAGAAACTGGCTTTCATGCTCGGCCTAACGGCGCTCGCCTCGCGAAGACGCTTTATGGAAAAAGTTTTTAATATTCTCTCTGCTTCGTTCCACCCTCCCGCCCCTGCCTCTATCCTCGTCTCGACATCCGCCAGCGAAAAAACGAGGACACGATAATGACCACGGGGCACAGGTGGATATGATTTTCGCTGATAGAATCTACAAGCCTTCTTCTTCTTTCCCCGACGAAAGAGATATCATTTGATCGTGAACAGGGTGGGGGCAGAGGGTGAAATTTCCCGTGGAGAAAAATGGAAAGCGTGCCAGGGGAAAAAAGGGGATGAAAATAGTCGCGAATACGACGGAATTATCGTTTGTTTCGCGATATTGGAATCTTCGGGGGTGCATCGGGACGAGTGCAACAAGAATTCACGCGTTTATTTTTTGTTTTACGTGCAAATATTTACCGACAACAGTAACGCAGACTCCATTAGGCGTCCATTAAGCAGTGAATATTAAAAAGTACAAAAATAAAGTAAAATTATAAATGTACGAGGACGAATAAGGAAGAAAATTATTTTGCTTTGGTGGCTGTTTGGACAGCTGACAAATCCATCATGTTCTTTTCGTAAAAAAAGAAACCTTTCTCGAATCGAACAGCGAAATTATGTTTGCTTTTTGTTGTTAAAATTTGTTGATAGATCGTGAAAGCTCTCTGCGCGTTTCGAAGTATCTTTCGAAGTCTGCGATTCATTCGGGAGCATTTGTTTCGTTCGACGGCTGTTTAGACAGACCGATATTTTTGAGGAATTTTTCTAGAAATAGAAATGCAAAATTTTGTGGAATTTTCGTGCGTTGATATTAGAATTTTGGTATGATTCGTACAGACTGATCTTTTAGGTGTTTCGACCATCTTTACTCATATAATGATACAGGTCAAGACGTTGAATATCGATCGAAGAATACAAATATCTCTCAAGAATCTTTCCCGCGGAATATCGGAGAACAGAAACCCTCGAGCGAGTCACGCCATAATTATATCAGAGTTTTAACGTAATTATCTGTTATAATTAACTTCACTGGAGCTTATTACCGGGCGGTACTAATAGCAACTCCCGCTGCGCTCTAAATAATTTCGAGTGCATTAAGCAACATTTATTTTAATTCAACGAACGCTGAACGACCATTTCTCAAGTTTGAGGAACTCTCATTTTTGCAGAAGTCATTAACAGACTTCGTGAAAGTTTTAAAGAGAAAACTTTACTCGGAGAAGTCAGCGATCGTTGAATTTACGAACTCACGTGAACGTGAGTACGGCCAATTAGACGAAGAAAAAATATTTCCATAATAATTTCGCCCAGTAATTGCAATTCGTTAGAGGCACACTCCGTTCTCTGGATACGAAAATAAACAATGATGGTTTATGTGTTAGCGCGATGAGCTTTCGTGCAATGCACGGGGCCACCCGCTGCACTTGCAGCCGTGTTGCGAAAGCACGTGACTGCGCCAGCAAAATTAGCATACGCGGGGAAAACGATCCGGCGCTACGATCGCCAGAAACGCGAGTTGACAACGCGACAATGAACCGCTCCCGAAGAGGAAGTTTCGCAGCGCCGGAAGAGGCCTCGCCGCGCTCGATCGTCCGTGAGATACGTAGCATCATTCCATCCGCGGGAAAACGCCGTGGTTTAAATTCGACGGATGCAAGACAGTGAGTAATTACCGTGTGTCAAATTGCCGGTGGTTTAATTTTACGCTTGAACGTTGAAAGAGTGGATAGGATAAATTAAATCACGTCCATCTTGGTTCAGAAGACTTTAATCCCCGCCGTGGGATTTTACCAGAGTCAAATTATTTGTTCCTAAATTTATAAATGTATACTTAGTCCGTAAGACGTGTAGTGAATAACGAGTGAACTCGAATTTTATTTTTTGGTACACGAGGAATAAGTGTTACTGATCATTTTTGGTAATAAAAATAAAGTGAGTGGGAATTGTAAAAAAGGATAATTTCGAAGAGTTTGTTGTTTAAAAATTTAGCCTGAGGGTGGTTGAAATTAGTTGTAACGTGTTTCGAGGTACCTGATTAGGTTTCGTTAATTATCCTGGTGGAACGTCGCGCAGTCTTGAATTAGTAAATTGAAGGTCTTCGTAGTCCTGAACAGAAGCACGATTGTAATCTTGCCAAGAGCGAGGAGACGTTATAATATTGTGACGGGGACTAATTTTAGCGACAATGGGAATGGGTTTTTCGCCTAACGCGATTAGTCATCGGCTAACAACCCACCAAATTGCAAACGAGCTACGAATCCAGTACGGAATTATTATCAAACTATCTTTAAACGACTCGTGTTATACACTTTTATGTTTTCAAAATATCTCATACATTGCAATTCTAGTGGCATTGAACTTACCAATTCTTAATTTAAGAATAACGTAATTCTAGATTTATTGAGCCTAGTGGTAGTTGAGGCATCAATGGATTCGATTTTTTCAAGTTCAATATCGTATTGCTCTTGAAAAACCACCAATTAACAAAATTTCCAAGCAACCAAGTATCAATCTACGAATTTTCCAATGAAATTACTAAATCTAAATGCATTTTTCAGTCATTCAAAGACTCATCAACAATTCTCCATCCATCAACTAATCAATCTATAATCAACAAAATTTCCAAGCAATCAAGTATCAATCTACGAATTTTCCAATGAAATAACTACCTTTAAATGCATTTTCCAGTCATTCAAAGACTCATCAACAATTCTCTATGTATTCTCCATGCATCAACGAACTAATATACCAATCAACAAAATTTCCAAGCAATCAAGTATCAATCTACGAATTTTCCAATGAAATAACTATCTATAAATGCATTTTCCAGTCATTCAAAGACTCATCAACAATTTTCCAATGCATTTTCAAATGCATCAACGAATCAATCTACCAATCAACAAAATTTCCAAGCAATCAAGTATCAATCTACGAATTTTCCAATGAAATAACTACCTATAAATGCATTTTCCAGTCATTCAAAGACTCATCAACAATTCTCTATGCATTCTCCATCCATCAACGAACTAATCTACCAATCAACAGAATTTCCAAGCAACCAAGTACTTATTGATGAATTTCTCAATCAAGCAACTATCTCTAGATACATTTTCCAGTGATTCAAAGTGTAATTAACCCTTCTCCAATGCATTCTCCATCCATCAATGAACTAAACTACCAATGAACAAAATTTCCAAGTAATCAAGTATCAATCTACGAATTTTCCAATGAAACAACTACCTCTAAATACATTTTCCAGTGATTCAAAGGGTCATCAACAATTTTCCAATGCATTTGCCATCCATTATCGAACCAATTTACCAATCAACAAAATTTCCAAGGAACCAAGTACTTATTGATGAATTTTCCAATCAAGCAACTACCTCTAAATACATTTTCTAGTAATTCAAAGAGTCATCAACAATTCTCCAATGCATTTTCCATCCATCAACGAACCAATCAACAAAATTTCCAAATAACCAAGCACTGGCTGATGAATTTTCCCAAGCGAGTCTGTTGGTCTCCAAATCCGCGTCGCTGGAAACTAGGTGGCGCGTTGTATACAGCATGCTCGTCATCTTCAAAAATAATTCCGGGTCGCGCAATTGCATCGCAAAACCAAGCAAAAATATCCTCGACCTCGAAACCGCGTTAATTTCACCGCCCTTCGCCGATAAACGAAAAAAAGTGCCGGGGTAACGTCGTGCCATTTCCACGTTCGTTTCCGTTTCCATCGAAATGGCCCGTCTCGATCGCACCCTTTTGGAAACCCGACTCGCTGGCGAAACAGCGCGTCGATTCCGCGCCGCGGAAACGTGACCCTTTTGCCAGTCTTTTGAGCCCCGGCTCGCGTCAAGCGTAAAAACACCGCAAGCTTTTACGAGACGCGAAAGCAACCACTCCAACGGTTGGAAACGCGTTGTCTCTGGCTGGTCGTGTCGAGAGGACTGGTTTTCCCCGCGTTTGAAACCGCGATTCCAAGATGGACAAACGAACGCATTCCGTGTATTCGCCAACCGAGCCTGAAACCCCTTTACACCTCGTCACTTACGTTGCTCGACGAGCATGACTGAAATTCTCCCAAACACACCGAATTTCGAGCATCTTCAAAAGCGCAAACTATCAATTTACGCGACCAAAATCAATTAGAAAAATTAAAAGCATTTATCGCAGGGGTTGATTCTTGTATGGATGAGATCAAAATTAAGTTTGAGATAATTAATGTAACGGTGAAATATATCGAGAACAT